TTGGCAAGTTTTGTAATTTGCATGTCAGACTGCACAGAAACGTAGAAAACCATTAATAACCTCAGCTGCCTGTTGCTCCGGCACCTGCAAGGAGCTCGGCGCTCTTCAGTTGCTCCTTCAAGAGGACAGAAATGCATTGGCGGCATTAATCAAACGCGAATTTCGACGCTCGTTTGATGGCAACAAATCTTGCGCAAATTTACGCAAACATTGGCAAGGCAGGGGGAGTCCCCCGAATCTGGGCTGCTGCTCATTATGGCCACCAGCTTCCCCACCCTCGAAGTAATTTACTGGCGCAACTGTGCAAAGTGCACTCTGCCATTTTTCAAATCGCCAAAGCCAGACGACAGCGACTTCTGGCTTGAAGTTGAGATTGAAATTGAATTGCGATTGATATTGATTGGCTGCGTGCTTGAGCGACAACAACTCGGCCAAATCATGTGCAGCCAAGCAGGGATTTGCCCTAACTTTCGCTTATTGTTGCTCTCCGAGAACATATAGTCGTCCGGCGAGGGAGTTCGGGTCCCTCGGTTTCCATTTGGCTGGCGGGAAATCGAATTTGGAGTCCCTTAGCCGAGCTCCGTTGTGCCCAGGATATTCCGACTATAAGTTGTGTATTGTTTAGTCAAGTGCAGCTGCTCGTGCAGCTTGTTTATGTCCTGTGTAAATAGGACTCGGATGGAGCTAGCTAGACTTCCAGTTAAATGGAAGCCAGGGCAAAAATATTTCAAAATTTAATGCAATGCAAGTGGAACTTAATGGGGAACTTGGCTGTTATTCTTCTTATTTTCCGAGAGTTTCGAATTATAAAAGTAGCGATTTATGTTTATTTATTTATAAAATAAATTATAATTTATATAATTTCTTCTTTGCTTGTTTTTTATTCAGCAACTCTGCCAGCTAGTAGCTCTAATTAAAGCATACAAACCAGAGGACACTGGAACACAATACCTGAGGAAGCAATCAAACAAACGCAGTAACAAGGATTGCATTAGGATGCATACAAAAGCACTCCAGGACACCAGGGGGGAACCACAAAAGGTGGTCCGGGCAAACAGGTGCCAAGCAGGAAAGGATCCGGGAGCAGCACTTGCTGCCACAATTCCGAGTACCGAGCACAGGTGGCGTCGGGCAACAACAATGGCAGTTCCTGTTGCCAGGACACCGATGGAAGCGGGAAATCCTGGCGACACTAAAAATATTTTCTACCAAATTTACAATATGAAGTGGCTTGCTGCCAAAGGTGCTGCTTGCTTATGCATGTTATATAGTATAGTTTGCTGCCACATCCGCATAAGCAAACAGGCAACAGGACTCGTATATAGAAAATGTTGCACTTCATTGCGTTGACAGGAACAAACGTGGCACAGATGGAGTTCCTGCTCCGGTTGCTCCGGCTGCTCCTGTGCATCCTGAAACTCCATATGTTGCTGAGTGCATTTTGAACATAATTTTCAATTTTCAAGCATGTTTTACCATTGGCTCTCGAGTAGAGGAGTGCGAAATTGTTTCTCTGTTGCCACGTGACAGTATTGTGATTTGCTTAATGGCCGCTCGGCGATTGCCGATGGCTGATGGCCATGGCCAAAAGCCGGACCGGGTAAATGGAGATTTTATTTAAATCCCAGTTTGTTGAAAAACACTCAACATCTAGTGGGATTAAAGTATCAATGAGGGGTTTTAAGTGGGTGTCTATGGCAGATGTGAGATACTATTATTGAATTTTCCTGGTGCAGGATGCTCTGAATGGTTTCGACAACTTTAGATAAAGTTGTCTCTTAGTTTAAAGGATTTAAAGAACAGGAACGTCTTAAAGTAAGTTGAATTTTGTTAAATTTATAGTTAAATTTACTTCAAAATATTTGTTTTATTAAGGGGACTTGCTATTTAAAATCATATCTTTGATATGAAATTGAATTGAAATATTTCATCCATGTAAAATAACATATGTAAATGCAGCTTACAGTAAAAATCCCTTCAATTATTTTTCTGATAAACTCCAAAGAGTCTTACAAAAAATTAAATTTCACATTTAAATCCTCTTTGCAGTAACTCCATATCACCAGCACTTGTTGCTGCCATATTGTTTTCATAAACGGCTTTAATAAGCATTATCTATTTACACTTAATTGATTTACAATTGCAGCATATTGCTCACTCTGTAATGTGGCTTTAATCAGTTGGCTAAGCAAATTAAATGGGCGCTGAGAGAGTAAGCCATATCATTTGATATGCGCTTTGAGACAAAGGATAAAAACAGCTTACAAACCCCTCAATTCTACGCCCACCCGGCACTTTTCAGTTAAAGTTGTAGCCAAAAAGCGAGCCAACAATGGGGAAATTGTACTACTGGCCTCGCTCTGGGCCCTCTACTTTCGACCGACGGACTTTGTTCCGCAGGCAGCATAATTAATTGCGGTAATTAGTGTGTTGGCAACAAACGGCAAACACACGAAAACATTCAACAACAGCCAGGCAGCAAATGTAACAGCCAGAAAATGGCAAGGAAAGGGGCGGGTAGGAGGAAGGTGGAAGCTGGAAGGCAGTGAGTGGGAGTGGTCCTACCAATGCATTTGCTTTATACAAGATTTGTGGGGTCCGAGGACTCTGGCATATTAGTTAGTTTGTGGAGCAACTTTTATTTAGGACTCTATAGCTGGAAAGGAATGCACTTGGAGGAAATTAGGGGGTATTTAAACTGTCTAAGGTTTTTGAAAATATTTATTTTAAATATTTTAGTAAGGTAATAAATTTTAAATAAAAAAAATTCCATATAATTATATTTATTTAAAACCTTTAATTCCCTTAAAATGATTGCACAACACGATCTTTGGGCTATCAAAAATTTACAAGGTGTTTAAATATAAAATATTTATGACTTTAATGCATTTATAATTAATTATCTTTTTGTTTTAAGTGTACATTTGTACCGTATATATCTCGACTGTTGACTGCTGACTGCTGAAAGGCCGATGGCGCTAATTTAGTTGGCCGTCTCTGGTTGCTTCTCTGTGGCATCATTAGAAAGCGAAAAATTATTTTTATTGCTAAACAAACAGAAAGCAAAGAGATGGCATAAGACGACCGTCGACAGCCGCTGGAGAGAGATATACTTCAAGTAAATCTCAGTGGCTAATAAGCCAGAGTGGAGTACAAGGAGCCGAGCAAAAAGGAGTTTCGCGGATGTGGCCCCGGGGAGTCTCCGACTGAAACTCAAACTCGGGGACTTTTTGCTCTCGCCTCGCTTTAATTGGTCACTTGGCGCGCACAGAAGAACAATTTAATTTTCGCCATTTTCTTATTATCTCGATTTTACACTCGCCGTCTGTCGGTACAGCGAAAGTCTTCTTGCTCAGCTCGCCGTTTATGTAATTAAGCGCTCCATACTCCCGGCTCTGGCTACAGGACTCACAGGAGGCGAGGTCAGGGGGCATGGCAACGTCTGTTGTATGTTATTACCACCGCAGTCATTAAATCTTTTGTGTGTAATTAAAAAATTACAATTTAATGCTTTGCCCGCTCATTTATTGACACGGCGTGCGGTCCGTCCAAAGCATTCTCATCCGCATCCGCCCCGTTGGCCAGCGGCAACTAAGCGAGCGGAAAATCAGAGAAGAAGAAATCCAAGTGGTGGAAATGTAGAAAATGTGGAACATTCAGGAGGTCATAATGAAGCACAAAATGGAATCCCTAATGACGGCAGCAGCACAGCCTGATTAAGTGAGTGTTTATGGCTAGGTAAATGCTACTCGCGCTTTGTATTGCAATTGGTCATGTTTCGTTTTTTAATGCTGATTACTTGGTCAAGGAAAAGAAGGGTTAAAGGTGAAATATCATATATTTTAGTGGAAAATTAAGCAGGTTTATGCTAGATAATTGAGTGAGCTTAAAAAGAATCCAATAAGTGGGAGGTCTGCACCTTAAATTAATTTAAAAATTATTAAAAACACTTTTGAAAAGATAAAAACTTCTACCAAAAAAACCCCTATAATCCCTTTGGAAACTTACTGAATATATTCCCGCATATATTTTTCCCTGCCACCCCCCCAAAATATTACGCTTGATTTCAATTTAAGGGCTCTGCCCTCTCCTCCCCCTGTGTGAGTTGTGGAAAAAGTTGAATGGCAAACTATCGATAAGCCAGCTGAAACGAAACAGAAGAGTGAAAAAGGAAAACTGGTCGCTGACATGGAAATTGCATTGCCCGAATGGAGTCCGTTGCAGATAACTGCCGAGAGAGGTTTTTCCACCCAAAGCCCCTGCGAAACTGCAGGCCTAAAATTCGACGGAATGCAGGGTTTTTTACCCTCCAGAAGTTTTTTTTTCAGCTGTCATGAATGCAGGCGAAGTTGACTTAAAGCTCTGCTATACAAAGCTGCTACCCAGCTGGAAAATTCCAACCTTTTAGCTCGGAAAATGTACGCCAATTTGGAAAATTAAGAAGAAGCGGGCGGATTGTTTTGAGCCGCGCCTATTTGCAGACTAAACAGCGTGAATATCCCCGGCTCTCATTGTGATGCGAAAGGCAAATGTCAAATGTCAAATGAGGGAGGCCTGTCTGTGCATAGGAAAAATATTTAACGGGCGGCCTGGCAATAAAAGTCACTACGCACAATATGACACCGACGCATCCGCATCCAAATCCGACGTTTGGCATTCATCTGATTTATGCGGCTGTCAGCAGGCTCTGCCCCTGCGGAATTGTCTCCCACCGGAATCCAGGGACATATGCGGGCTCCGGTTGAGCCCCAGTTGACGTGGCTGATTGACAAACCGCGCTGTTTGCGGAAATGAACAGTTTGACATGCGGTTTCTGGCCAAGTGCGGTGCTACCAATCAGGCCTTTGCTTTGTTCCATAAAATAGACAAAAGGTGCGGCTGTCTGGGATTGTTAGGCCTGATTTGCAGTCGTTAAACCAAAGTTTGCAAATGCATTCATTTATTTTTGTATATAAATAAGTTTGTTAATTTTATTACGACTAGAGTTATAGTAGCTTTAAAAAAAAATTCAGGAATAATAAAATAGTTGCTTATAAAATGGAAATTTGAAGCATCTTACAAGTGCTTTAGTCTGATTAGATTTCCTTTCCTTTTCTGTTTTCTAGCATGCTTTTGGTAATTTTTATTGATGTAATTGCTAATACTTCTCGGATTTTTAAAAACATGCTTTAACTTGTGGAGTGGCAGTCCCAGGACACGGGCCGCAAAGGTCTTGCATGTCATGTAGAGCCCACGATCTACTACTGTGTCACAGCCACCCAATTGGCGTTCAGAGTCAACGAGCTCGAAGGTGATGCCCATGGCGCAGTTCTTGGGCTTCAAGGTATTCCGTACGTCGATCACACTGAAGGTCAGTATTTTCCTAAATATACCCATCTGTTGGGCCTCTTCGATACCGGCATCGGACACCAGAAAACAGGCCAGAGAATAGCCGCTGTTTAAATCCCTTACATTCACGTGGTATATATTGTCTGCCCGCAGGAAGATAGACAGCACCACATCCGTGCAGCTTCGATGGCCAATTGTTTCCTTTAGCTGCCTCTTGAAGCTGTTTAGAACAGGCAAATTGCGGCCCTGACAGAACTTGCAGGTGCTTAAGGACTTTCCCTCCCGGCTCGGAGAGGACGCTGGCTTCTTATTCTCGCATTTCTCGGACCAGGATCTCACAGTACCTTTAAGGCTGTTCACCTGCTGACGTATATCGGGGAGTTGGTCCTTTTCAATGCCCTCCAACATCCTAGTAAGTTCTCCCAGCTGCTTGGATAGGTCGGTTATTAGGTCGCAGTTGCCACATGGCGAAGATTGAGGAGGGCATTGGCGAATTGAGGAAGGAGAACCATGTTCTTGTGAATCTTGATACCTAACTTGAATGTCCTTTGAGAAATCAACATGATGAATCGAGCTAGATGCTCTTTCAGGAAGCCGTTCTTGAGAATCATGCCGTTCTTTAGGTGAAATTCCTGAATTCTGCTTTCGGGAATAAGGTATAAAACTTTTCTGTTTAGAATTCAATGAGCTCACAGGATACTGCGAGTCCTGTTGATTTGAATTTTCAGAATGCTGTTTCTTGCTTCCCTCTCCCAAGGGCACAACAATAAGGGGCCTCTTGCTCTTCTTATGAGCTTTTTGGGAATTTCCTGTAGTGTTTTCACGGATGATCATCGGTGTGGAATGATCCGACTCTGAACTTCGGTTGATCCTAAAGGGGGGAACACGGATGGGAATTTCCGCTGCCACAGGATCGTTGAAGGATACACAGTTTCCGATCCTTGCCCGTCGTGCATCGCCGCATAAGGATTTAAGGGGTTCCGGCCTTGACTTTTTAAAGTTTTCAAAATGAATTTTGTCGGATTTTTTAGCGTCTTTGCAAGGCGTTTTAATTCTATACTGGCCTTCGAGTTTAGAGGACTCCGAAGACGGAACAAGCGACCCTAAGCTACCACCTGAGGTACGAATGCGGGGTGCTAGAGAGGATGTGCATTTCCTGGCGAGTTTTTTACGGCGCTTGCGACTTAGTTTGGGTTGCGGGCCAGTTTTTTCTAATTTTTCGACGGCTCTGCAAGGCGATTTGGATCGCTGAATATGGGAGTGGTTGGTATTTTTTAAAGGCTCCAAAAACTGGTTATTCTTTCCGGTTCTAGGAGATGCTGAACGACGCCGGCGTTTTGGTGAACTCATGCTTTTTTTCGAAATAAATTCAGGAACTTTTTCAGATTTTTCAGCAGCTTTGCAAGACGTTTCTGATTGCTTAATAATTTTAGGGGACTCCCAAAACTGCACACCCATTCCGTACTCTTTAGATGTTATATAGCTGCGAGGTGTCAGCATGGATGTGCTTCTACTGGAGACATTTCCTTGAGGCATGAAACTAGGTTCGGTAATCCTGGTCTTTGCTCTATTGAAATCTAAAAATGTACAATATTTAATAATTATTAAAGATAAGCCCAATAATATTCTCTTACCCCTAAATCCTCTCAAGTTGTGATGACTACAGTTGACCTTGGGAGATTGCTTTTGACCCCAAAGAAGCTTAAATTTTGACATTTTCCTAAAGTTTAATTTATTTACAAAAAAAATGATTGAATTTTGAAGACTAAGCCAACTGGAATTCACACATTCTACCGAGTTACAGTTAATTTAGAAAGTTTATACTCACATTATGTCCAATTAAACCTCTCTCTCTGTGCCAAATATGATGATTTCTGGCACAAGAATTCACATAAACCAATTAAAAGCCCAGCTCAGCTCGCCTCTGGACTGACATCCAAAGCATTTTTGCCACAACAATGAGAGTAAGTACTACATATTTTGGTTTCGGTATACATAATAACTTTTATTTTGGCAAACGAAAACCACAAAATATTTAATCTTTAGCTAGGTTTTATGGTTTACAAAATATGTTTACCAGTTCCCTCAAATGGTTTGTTTTCTGTTGTAAAATATGTCTACATTTTTGTTTCTTTTTTTGTTGCTTTTGTGGCGAAAGGGTTATGCTTACTTTTACATACAAATGTTATCATTTTGTTGTCCTGGCAATTTACACGTGGAAACGTATGGTTTGGCTTTTGGTTTTAAAAAAGATTAAATGTAATATACAATTTCAAATGCTCTCGTTAAGCTCCTTCTTGTGTATTTATTTATTGTTCTTTAGAAAGGGTTTTTGTATCGTTTATTGAGTAATGATTAAAGGGAAAAATGGTTACGTTTTAGTTATTTGCTCTTTCAGAGCGAAAGTTTGTTTATCATTTAATAGTATTTTTGGCAACTATGTGATTACATATATCTTAAAGATTTGGCAACAAAATCTCTATTCAGATTCAAGGCTCAAGCTCAGCAGGGGAACTAAAGCGAACTCATTAGGACTTTGCACAGACTGTAGGAAAGTTGAGCAAAACTTTCAATTTGAATAATTATACGAGTGTTTGAACCTTTACTTCTTTTAAACGCTATGAGGATTTTTTTTAAATATATAATATATATGTATAAATAATCCTATATGCTTTTTCCATAAATATCCAAGCTAAACAGAAACCTGAACTAAACTTAAACGTAAAACTGTTTTAGGTTTTAAGAGTTAACCCGACCAAGCAAATCAGACAGAAAAGTAGTGTCCCCTTGGACACGCCTTAAAGCTATACAAAGCACATGGGGCAAAGGTCCTGCGTCATCCTATTTCTCCGTTATCCGTCATCCGCCCGCAGATTCAGATTCACACAAGGCTCGGACGCAGTACCTGGCATAGGGCTACTACGGCCAGGATCACGATTGCAGGCTGCAGGACTCCCGCAGAGGCGCGGGGTTCTAGGGACAGCGTCCTGTACTTCTCCACCCTGGTCCAATCACTGAAACCAGCCAGGTTGCGGGAGGCAGCCCTCACCAGGTAGTCCGTGTCCGGCTCCAGATTGGTAAGCAGGAAGGTTGCACCTGTTGAAGATTAAGATTACAATTTTAAAAATCAAATAATCAAGTTTTATGACTAAGACCAACCTTCTTCGAAGGGATAGTCCTTCCTCTTGGCATAGGTCCACTTTCCAGCGTCCGTCTTGAACTCCATCTCGGTCATGTACTCGATGCGGAATCCATTGACCTCCATAAGGCCACGATCCTCCTTGCCGCGCGGCGCACTGAGTACCACATCGAAGGTGTTCGAGTTGAAGCCGCGCAGCTTGAAGTTACTAGGAGCTGGTGGCTTCTCGCCCTGCTCCAGGCGCGTGGTTCGCTCAATGCTGCCCAGATCATTCCAGGCCCGGCATCTATAGTTGTCAAAGGCGCTGGCATTTACCACGCGGATGGTAAGTCGGGACCAGTAGTTATCCGTCTCGATGGTGTACAGCTTCTGGTTGCTGTGCAGATGCTTCTGCTTCCGGTGCCACGAGAAGTTGGCCGGCGGCTCTGCCTGAGCCTCGCACATGATCGTGGCAGTGCCATTGATATAGGCGTACTTGAGGCTTACAAAAGGGGACGGCGACCAAATGGGCTTGTCTGCAGGTTAATAAAAAAAAATTCATATTAGATCAATAAAAAAATCGAAAATATATCAAATTAAGCATCATTTTGCTGATGCTATAAGGCTCTAACCTTCCAATGACAAGCTGACACTTCAAAGAATGGCCCTTAAAGGTATTCCACGGAAATGGAAAAACCATGTCCGCTCACCATAAATCAGAGTGAAACCAAGTTGAGCCATTAGCGGCATGTGCTCCACGCCCACTAGCCCTAAAAACACACACATCAGTGGCATTTGTAGCTTCAGCCGGCATTGGCATCCATCAAAGGCCGCTCGCATGCGAGGCTTGGACTAAACGAATGTAATATCAGCATTTTTCGTGCTCAAAAACTATTTACCGCTCAGTGCGCTGCATACTAAGCACAGCACACAAATTTTAGAGTCCTCTTGACTAAACAAAAAAGGCAACAAAATGGTGCTCAAGTCATTTTAGCAGGACCCACAAATTACAGACAATGGGACCATGCTAAAAAATATATATAAATATATTTAAGAAAATGTTTGTATATATATTTGTGTAGGTCTATTAAATAAAAACGTTTCATAGTAGGTTTAAACAAAGGATTCTAGATTCAAGTCCTGTAGATATCTCTCTCTTACTCCTTTACCCTTTACCTCTCTGCTACTTTTTAACAAGCTTTTATGAAAGCCTTGGCCTTGATTCATATTTCTCTCAGCAAAAAAAATCTTATAGCGTTACGCATCTAGTTTTTTATATAGTTTATAATGTATATATATTTCAAAATTTAATATAAATATATATTATTTAACCTAACAAATTAATATTTAATTTAATTTCAAAGTAATTCCTATTTAATTTAATTAAATTTAATTTGAAACTAATTCCTTGAAACCCTTTCCATCCCACTGTTCCTTCTTTTGTTTGGAAAACCATAAATAACACTCACGTTCGATTTTCATCAAAACGGTGCGCTCCTGCATATCAGAGGCGATGGAGTTGACTTGGTATGCCCGGCACGCGTACTCGCCGGTGTCATTCTGTGTTACCTTGTTGATGAGCAAACCATCGGCCAGGATGCGGAACTTGGAGTCATCGGCCGCTGTGCATGAGGATAAGAAGAGGAGGAGATTGGGTGAAAAAGGGCAGTCAGTCGTTTGGTTGGAATTTTCAGCGGGAAATTCGTATCTCATTACGGGACGGCCCGTGGCCGTACTTACCTCCGGCGCTGATGGGCTGTCCGTTGAAATGCCAGGTGACATTCGGCTGGGGCTCGCCCTTTACCTCGCACAGAATGGTGGCCTTGTCGCCCTCCTTAACGGTCATCACGGTGGCATTTTCCGTGAACGTAATTTTCTCTATCGACGGGAAAAACAATGCAATATTAATGACTGAGCGACCTGCGACCCACGGCGATTCCAGCACTTACGGTACACAATCAAATCGAAGGATTTACTATGCAGACCGCCCTCAGCAGCTTCGCAGGTCCAATTGCCCTTGTCGGCCAGTGCGATGTGGGCGAAAACGATTTTCAATTGTTCTGGGCGGGGGAGAAGACAAAAGGAATGTCGAAAATAAACAAGCGAGCGAACACGACAGAGGGGGAAAAATGAAATGAAAATGGGAAATCGAGTATAGAATACATAGAAAAAGGTTAAACGAGGTTCGTAAAACAAAGCGAACGGCATAAAGAAAGCAGAAAATGACTATGCATAGAATGCTGAATCACTAATACCCTGGGAAATGGGTTTTAAATTCATTTTAGCTACCTGAAGTTATACCTAAAGATATTGGATAATGTTTGAATAAAAAAGTAAAAAGATTTTGTGATATGAAACCACCTTAAAAGGATACTATAAATTAAATTTGAAATATTTGTAGTGTAAAGAATACCCTATCATATCCTTCTTGCTCCTCTCTACTCGGTATCAGTTACAAAAGAATGCGGCGGGAGAATTGCAATTAATTGCGTTTGTTGTGCTTGTGGCACCCCTTGACCCTTTGATTCCCTTACCCCTGCTATCTATTGCCACCCGTTGCATCGCTATTGCCATTCCCATTGGATCCTTACCTGGCGATGTTTGCTCAAAGTGAATGCGTCCTTTGTTCTCGCGTATAATTTCGCCTCGCGGCGATTTCCATTGCAGCCTCACATCCGGATTGGGACTCCGGCACTGGACGATGAGCGATTCGTTTGTGTACCGCACCACGCTATGCTCTGCCGGACTCAGCGAAAGGCTCTCATGGTGATTGCCCAAGACGACAGCTGTAATGGCAAAAAACACAGAAATACACACATATAGTCGTTGTCGAATCCTGTGGGTAATAGCTCGTTAATTGCACGCACTGCAGGATATGCAGAAAGTTCTGTTCTGTTAGAGCCAAGTTGCTCTTTTATGGCCAGGCATTTGCATGCTCAGTGCAGTTTATTTGCTTGGCAACTAAAATAGCATAAGGCGCCATTGCTTTCAGACACACACACACTTGAGTCGTGAGACTTTAAACATATCAAAGTAAACTTTTTTTCTTGTATATATAAAATAAAAACTTGGTTTTAAGAAGAACTGTATTTAAAGAGTTTTTTAATAGGAGTATTTAGTACATTCTAATGTCAAATATTTATCAAGCACCTGCATTTTGCAAACAACTTCCATTTATTCCCAAAAAGAACACTCTTAATAACAAACCGACTATAAAGGTTTACCATGTCACTCAACCACTAATTGAAAAATAGTGTTTGCAAGATAAATCTATAAATATATTTATTTGCAAACTTTCAAAAGAAACCGGAAGTGTTTTAATTTATTCTGGCATAACTCCGACTGGCACGCAATTTATGTGGGCAATTTTTATTCCCTAACCGGCAGCTAACATACAGCAAACTGCACTCAACGGGTTGGTAAAGGCTTTCACTTCTTGTTTGCGCCTTGGCAGGGCATAGGAAGGCGCCTTTGCTCATTGAAATTTATCACAAGAAATTGCAATTTCATTTTCCCAATTCATGTCAATCCGCACGGAGGGAAAAACGTAGAAAAGACGGGGGGCAAGGCCCGAAACTTGGGAAACTAGAACCGGAGGAGGAGGATACTAGTACCTCCGCAGCCCTTTGGGTAGATGTATAGATGCTGAAATTCCTGCATACTTTTTAATAAAGTTTGTTGCATGCCCAAAGTGGCAAAGAACGAATATAAAACAAGTATAAAAACAAAAACTCCGAAACACAGCACACAGAATAAAAAGGGAGGATGAGGGACATGATTGCATCGTTCATTTCGTTGGCAAAACTTTTGCGTTTGCCTTTTTCTCCAGAGCTGTGCAAATTTTATTGGCAGCAGTATATGGACATATTGAAATTATACAGCTACATAATGAAATACTTTTTGTATATATATATATAGGGTAGTGGCTGAGGGGAACCACAAGTCAGAAGTCATCTAAGTGGCTTTATTAACAATGCAACTCGGGCAAAGATGCTTGCAATTAGGTTTTGGGTTGTGGAAACTTGGCTCAAATTAATTAGCATAATTGGGAAATTGTACTACTGGGATTTAAGTTTCTTTCTGTTTTCTAATTGGAGATTTTTAAGGTTTCAAGTTTTTAAACTGCATATAACGATATCTCCATTGAAAGTTAAGTATCTTTTGGCATATTTTCCCTTTAAAATCAACATCTTCATAAGCGTAAACTTTTGTTTTTGTTTGAGTACTCATACTGGATATCTTAACGAATCAATGCTGACATCAGCTAGAGTTGCCAAACAATGGGCTACATTACTTTTTATCGCGCTCTTGGCACAACTTACACGCGAATCCTGCCCCCGAATGTGTGCTATATAGTTATGGGAGCGAGCAAATATTTGCATTGTTTGCCTTCACCTGCAGACGCCAGCAACGTCAGTGTCGGTGTCTGTTTCTCTGTCTCTGTCTCTGTCTCTATATCTGTATCTGTCTCTGTTGCGTCTGTCTGTTAAATCGCAAGCGCTGACGGCTTGTCTGAATGGTAAGATGACTGGATGCGGGATACAGAGGGAGAAAATAGCCATAAATTGTATATATTTAAATATAAGAACTCATATAAACTCACTCCAAAAAATATTGTATTTTAAAATCTAAGCCCTTATTTCAGTTCTCAGAAGTTTAACTTTCAGTAGAAATATTTCTTGAACTCGATATCTTTAAAATATTATTTTAAATACATAAAAATTCTTATATCCTGTCAGTGTAGATCCCCTGGCTACTGTTGCTGCTGCTCCTGTTTTCAACGCCACAGATATCTGAGCCAAAAAAAAAAAAGCTCGGGGACACTCCGGGATGCACACGGTACAACAGCCGTCATAAAATTTCATGCCCGGACCAAAGTCGCAGCACATGCGAGCTTAATGACAGCGTCACGGAAAAAACAACAAAAAAAAAATATATATATATATATCGTACATATATAAAGGTGTGCTGAAGGGCCGGCGAGAGGAAAAATAAATGTAAAGCAGTGCCAAGTGTGAGAAAAACAAACAGTTAGTGGTAAATCGGAAATGGCATTCCCGGAGCCAGCCACAAGAGCGAAATGAAATTATCTGACTGGCTGTTGGCTGTTGGCATTGTTCGGCGGCCTTTATAAATGCATTATGCCATGCACTCGTGTGCACCGCGAGTGCAAAGGGAAAATGGTGTTGCAAAATGTAGTGGGTGGTAACTCGGGCGCCACGATGGAGCTGTTGAGCGGCAACACGTGCGAGCTGCCAAAAAATGCAGCCAAGCATACAGTCGCGTGGGCGACGTCCTGTGAGCTGATGTGCAATGCCCGTCCTGTCAGGATTTTTCCCAGCACATGTCCATGGTTTTATATTATAGTAGTAGTGTTAACCTGGAAATTCCATTTTAAATGGAATTCATTATGCCCTGGCATTTTTGTCCTCATTTGTCATTTACAAACTCACTTTGGTTTTTCCGGGTGGTTTTCCCTATTATCTAATCATTGTTTAATTAAAATTAATGAATTCCTGAGAGCAACTGAGTTATTTTCTAAATATTTCCATTTAGCATTGACTAATCTGGACATTAGGAATAGGGAATTTAAAGGTAATGGGACGGGGAAAAATAAACTGGCCTCGACATAAGGTATTTGGCTTCAATTTCACGCTTCAACAAATCCTTTAAATCCTCATACATTTAAATAAACTTTTATAAAACCAAAATTTCAACTGAAAACTTCTTTATTGAGCATCCAATAAAAGTCCAATTCTTTTGAAGTGCATTTCGTTGCCAACATTAAATATTAAGTTGTGCTTAAAACTTGTGGCACCATTGGACATTTATTGCCGCATGCCAACGACTGCCCCTCCTGACTCAAAATAAAATCGCAGCCATTTATTCATTTGTTTTTAAATTATTCAGCCACAATTTTAATGAAATTTCTCTCCTTCTTTGGCTTAAAGGCGGGCCTGCAATTCAATTTCCATTAGCTCAGCGAAAAACTTTTTAATTATTTTCCAATGCTTAATGGGGAAGCCCAGGGGGAAGGGGCACAGGCTTTTATTTGCCTCGAAATGCTGCAAGTTTTCCCTCTCTTTGTGCGACATTTTTGTTTTGCATTTACTCTGGCAAAAAAAAAAAAAGTTTATTATTTTTGGATTTTTGTTTGCGCGTATTTTTTCCAGTACGCACGCATGGCTCTCAACTTCAATAAAAAAGTTTTAATTTCACAAGAGCATGGGAGAAGGGAACTGCAGCCCGGCCATCCATCCTGTGAGCATTAGGGAGTGTTTTAATGTCAGCATAAACGCATATGAAGCGCACTTAACCTGAATAATTCGCGGGCTTTGGCCCAGGCACGCATTTCCCCGACATCGGGAAAACGCCCAAAGGGAAATGCGGGCAAATAAAAGCACTCGACGGCGGAGCATGCAAATAATTGCAGCATTTGTAAGAGCTTAACCCAGTTCTGTCAGGGCATATTCCTGATACCCAATGGGATATGGCCAGGAAGTTTGTAGGGATAAAAAAAAACTGCAGAGAAGTGGTTAACTTTGTGTCAAAAGCCAGACAGAAACGGGGATAATAATCAAGTGGGCGAACGCCTGGCTGGGCTTTTGGGTTATAGAATATCCCTGAAATCGAGTACAAGTAAAATTACTGGGGAATATATGAGTGCTTTCTGTATTTAATTTATTATTCTATAATATTATTTAATTATTAATTAAGAATACAAGCTAGTTTCGATTACACAGTGAACTGATATTACAATAGTTTGTCCTGCCCTTGGAATCTTCCTCAAATTAGGTAGGTTACACCTTAAAGACCAACTCTTTACACAACGAGAGCAATAACCTGGCTCACCTGGAACTACAAGTGTCTACCTTTTGAATATCCTGGCATAGTCATCAGGTCAAGGAATTTAATACCAGTGGCACACAAAAGCAGCAGCACGTAATGCCAAAACACACATAAATCATCAGCGCGTCTCCGCACAAGAATATATTTCCGCTATAAAATGGACGCTTCCGCATTTTCGGCTACTGAACGAGCCACGTTAACGTCTTCGTCTTGGCCAGAAGCAGCAGGAAAACAGGAAGTGAGCTTGGTGAGCTCTTTCGGTTATGCTTTTCCAGCTGCAACTGTGGCAACAGCGGAAGTGCTGCAGGTAGGAAAACCTGCTCTACTTGCCGAGTAGTGGAGATGCCTTTTTAATAGTTTTCCAGCTGACACTTGGCCGTGGCAAATTTGGTCTCTCCCCCAGTCTTGTTTCAGTTTCAGTTTGGCAATTAATTTTTTCCTGCTACCGCCAACGAGTTCATAAATTTCCCATTATGTGGAGTGCCGGCCGGAAAATACATTTATGCGTTTTTAAATGCCTGGCAGCTTATAACTCTCTCAGCTCGGCAGCTCTTCTGGTCGTCTGGTCTTCTGGCCTTTGAGGAAGCCGGCGCATATAAATTTGCAACTGTCGGGCGATAAGAGCCAAGGCAGGAGGCCACTCGCCACTGGTCCAGTTCCAATTCACTACCGTTCATGAGTCCGTGATTCTTCCCCTTTCAACTCGTTCATCAACATGGTGCTCTCCTTTGACTTTTGAAACAAAAGTTTGACAAACTTTACTTTCTACTTGGCAAAAGAAACACGATGCTGGATGAGCTGAGCTGGAGGCCCTCAGTTTAAACTGACGTTGTCGCAAAACTCTATAAAAGTTAGGGGTACTTAAATATTTTAAACATTTTAGAGATAAATCTGCGAACAGTGGATCAGTGTCAGTTGCCATTGGGCTTTGTGTCGT